TACCGTAAGCAACAATATAGAAGAACCTGGGAAAATCAGTTTAAAAATGGGTTTAAATAAAACTAAAACAGAAGTGATGACAAATCAAAATATTTCAATAGACTTAGATGAAAGTGACACCTCGAGAACACAGTCGTAGTAGTAAAACTCTACAAAAACCGTGACTAGACGAGGTCAAACCGAAGCAGGGAGAAATTTGCATCAAATAGCACAAAACAGAAAAGAGTGGAGAACTCACGGGAGACCTTTGTCCAGGAGTGAATGCAAATAGGCTGAAAAAAGAATGGTATGGTATGGTCTTTTTATTGGTATAACTCATGTTAACTGATCTCTTACCCTAACAGGTGCAATTTGTGAACAGGTGAATAGATGTTTAGTATATAGTAGTCATTGGTATTTACAGCAAGTGACTAATATTTGTTTATTTATTTGTGCTTTACTCTATCGAACTCATTGTAATCAAACGAAGATACATATACAATGCAGTTGATGTATCTCCATCGTTGGAAGACGACGTCTATTGCAAAAAGCGCCTTTCGGATACCTAGTGTATCGTTGGACCCAAATTGAGTATTCTTCACACCTTTTGTATAACTTTTTATGTATTATTTTTAAAAACGTCTTCAGAATATTGTTCATGAGATTTATTATTCCAAAATTTACACATACCTATAAATGTTTGCGTAAGATTTCTTGAATATTGCTATGGACGTAGATTTCAGTCATTGGTAGTATTTTCCCACTTTGGTATGTAATATTGAAGATATTCTTATTCTTCTTGGTATTTTTTTAGATTTTAGATTCTACCGACCGTTTTTGGTTTGTATAATACTGCTGATTCTTTAACGTTCTTGTAGAGGTTAATTAAATCGTGTTTACGTTCTAATCTGATTTCTACACATTGTTCTTCGTTCTTTCAACCGTCTGCTTCTAAATTTGACTGCTCTATTTTTATTTCTTTGTTAATTTGCTGATAATCTTTCTTAATATTTGATAAGCTGTCATGCCCATTGACGTCTCTTCTTTTAACTGGTAATTTTAATATACTGCCACACTTCACGTCGACTTATAAAATCGAATGAAACAGAATATAGACATCTACGGAGATAAAATTAACTAAAGAAAAATGGATAACACTGGAGTGATTCTCCCATCTTGGTCGCAATACTTAACTAAAAAACACAATGCCAGAAAATGCTCAGAATATCGATTAGTTTAAACAAAAAGTGTACCTTTAGACAAATTGTATTTATATGCCAATTGTATTGTATTTATTTAACTCAAATAAATTTCTGAACGTCGTAAATGCTAATACCTATATATATAACTGCCGATTATCTGTTTTCCTCGATAGATATCTACCCTTATACACAAAAGAATATGTTTCTAATGCACTAACCTCATCACTTAAATGCATAAAAACAAAAAAATAAAAAGTTCATGTGTGAAAAGGGCATCTCAACTTGCTCTAAGCGTTCATGACGCACTTATACGTCATCAACAATTGTTTGTACAACGGTTTACGAAATGGTTAGTAAGTACGTGCTCCGGCACGATAGGTGTAATAGTCTATAGTCCATCAACTTAAGCAATCGAAGACAAAACAGTAAGGTGAGACCTTTGTGAATCATTTAAGAATGTCATGACGGATAAATTTTTGTGATTGATTAATTCCTAACTGGGTTATGTTTATACGTATGGTTGAAACAAAATAAGCGGCTAACTAAAAAAATTCTCGGGCTTTAGGTAAGCATGACAAACACCAGTAATATGTTAATTCATCGACTATTAATTCAGTTATTAACAGCTATTTAATGTTGGTATGCTTCATAAAATCATTAAAACGTGATAGTATGCTTATCAGATAAAATAAAAGGGTCAAAGCAAAGCAATGGAAATGAATTGTTAGCGTACATGTTGGCAGCTCACTAGAAAATACTGGATAAGAAATTAAATAATAAAAGGGAAGAATTCCAGTGATTGGCTATACACCACAGTTTAAATTTGCTTTAAATTTTAAGTTTAAGCGTACAGTAAAGAAAAGAAAAAAGAAAAACAAAAACTTCTAGTGTACTTATTAGGCCATCATTAGTGACACATTTAGTTACATATTTTACATTCAATATTTTTATTATTGTGTTATAATAATAGGATCTTGTTTAATGATATATTCTAACTACTTATTTACTTTGAAACTATTTGAAGACCAAAGAGATAACACCTTTGAGCTAGAAAGAGAGGTAAATGATGGACCAACAATGTTACAGCAGGAACTACTCAAACTAATGGACAACGAATCGATAGCAATAATCGCAAAGATATTCAATAACATATACAACTCTGCAGAAATACCAAGAGAACGGCTGAAATCTGAGTTTGTTGCACTTCCAAAAAAACCAGGAGCCAAAAAAAGCAAAGATTACCCTACTATAAGCCTCATGGGTCATCTAAAATTTTTCCTAAAGATAATTCATAAGAGAATTCTACAAGCTGTGTGAAAGTCAAATTTCCCTCAATCAACCAGTTCGGGTTCACAAATGCTGTTGGTACTAGAGAGGCTTTGTTCTCAGTACAAGTCTTATTCCAGAGATGTAGAGACGTCAAATGCGACGTATGCGCATGTCTGGTTGATTACGAGAAAGCGTTTGATTGAGAACAGCACGCCAAGATGATGCAAATACTAAAAGAATCATGAATTAACAACCAAGATCTGAAAATTATTAGAAATCTTTACTGGAATCAGACAGCAAATCTCAGAGTTGTAGGTGAACACATTGACTATGTGAAAATCATGCGTGGTGTGAGAATCTGTACTCTGAAAGAATATTTATCGAATCTTTGCACGAAACTGAAAAAAGTATTCTACTAAATGGTTACAGGTTAAACAACATGCAGATGACACCATAGTATTTGTGGACAACTTAAAAGACCTACAAGTTCTTATGAACAAAATCACGTATTATAGTCAACAATATGGAATCAATATAAACTTTAAGAAGACAAAGCTTATGATAATTAGCAAGAAAAGGATAACAGAAGGTCAACTCTACGTCAACCAATCCCTTGTAGAAAGAATAACGCACTATAACTATCTCGGAATAGAATAAAAAATTAGAGACTTATCAACCAAGGGAACAGGCAGGATTCCGAAAAAGTGACGGAACAAATGACCATCTACAAAGTATAAAAACCCTAATAGAGAAAGCAGTGGAATACAATAAACCTCTAGTTCTAATATTTATCGATTTCACGGAGCAGAAACACTTACCTTAACAAAAGCAGCAGCTACCAAACTGAGAGTCACGTAGAGAAGAATAGAGCGGTCCATGTTAGGAATAACTCTCCGAGACAGAATAACAAACGAAGACATCAGGAGAAGAACCGGAGTGACTGACATCATCGAGAAGATAGCCAGACTAAAATGGAGATGGGCAGGACACATAGCCAGAATGACAGATGGGCGATGGACAAAGAGGTTATTGGAATGGAGGCCAAGAGAAGACAAGAGAAGCGTCGGTCAACCACCTACAAGATGGACTGACGATTTAAGAAGACTCAATAAAAACTGGATAAGATAGACGGGGTTGAAAACATGAGGAAGAGGCCTATGTTCAGCAGTGGACTCTTGAGGCTGGATGATAATGAACTATCTCGGCACCATAATAAATGAAGAATGGACCAACAACCAGGAGATTAGAGCACGCCTCGGAAAATCTAGATCCACCTTCAATCGGATGGGGGCCTTCTTCAAGAGTCACAACCTCTCTCTTGATACAAAAGTAAGAATGCTGCGATGCTACGTCTTCTCTGTCCTTTTTTATGGTGACGAATCGTGGACCTTAAATGAAGATATGTGCAAAAAACTGGAAGCATTTGAGATGTGGCTATATCGGAGCATACTTAAGATCCCGTGGACAGATCGAGTCACAAATGAGGAGGTCCTCAAAAGAATGAATAAGAACGAAAAGGTACTGACCACCATTAAATCTTGAAAGTTACAATTCTTCGGACATATTATGCGAAATGAATCCAGATATGCTCTCCTTCTAGCCATCTTGCAAGGAAAAATATTTGGTAAACGAGGTCCAGGAAGAAGAATATCTTGGTTAAAGAACCTCAGTATCTGGTTCAATACAACATCTGTGCAGCTTTTCCGCGCTACTGCAGATAAGATAAAGATTGCCATGACGATGGCCAACATTCGTAACGGATAGGCACATCAAGAAGAAGACTTATTTACTTTAAAAGTTTACAGTATATTATTTTTCTTTTATTCGGTAAATTCTCATTGTTAAACTGGCGAACACATGGTAATCAGTTTTTAAGTTCAAAGCAATTCACTTGTCTTTGTTATTTGTTAACTGCCTCACAAGCACAGAAAACGCTACAAAATATCAAATTTCTGTGAACCATTTAATTAAATTATCTTCTTTCAAAAGCGCATTACAATAGCTCTGATTTATGGGGGTGCACTTGCCTCACTAACCTACGGACCATCTAGAAGAAGGGTGATCTGAGGTTTCTACCTATCTTATACGGTAGACGTATGCGTCATTTGCATCGCGATGCGCAGATGCTACTCTTCTACTAGTTGTTAAAATTAGTACACCAAATTTAAAAAGTAAGTGTATTTTCTTTATACAGATAACATCCATGAGTTAAGTCAGGTATTGTCCTGATATTTAAATTCTTTGCTAATTTATTCACAATTAAAATATTGCATTTTTTTTTTTGTTACTATTATAGTCATTTAACCAGCGACTCCAGTAATTTTTACACAAAACAAAGTGAACACAGTGAACACAAGTAATTATTATTAGATTATTTGTCAATGTGAAGTTTTGACAGTTAAGTCGATATTAAAAGATTTAACTTTAAGGGAACGTACTGAAGTTTACTCGAAAGGAAGGCTATATGTGAGCCTTAGGGAAGATACCAGCCATGAGTTGGCTGGTACCAAATATAATACAAATGTGATTTAAATGTAAAAATGTACTTACAGTATCATATCGAAGCGAAAAACGGGAATCATGTAAAATTAAAGAACTTCCAGTAGAAATTGGTAAACTGTAGGACGTTTGACTTTTATCTACTTTCATCCATATCACAGAATAATCTTGAGTGTATTGTACTGAACACAGGAGCTCCACTGTCCCTCCTATATCCTTAATCTGTGTCTGCGTTATATACGATATCGTTGGAGATCTTTGAGCATAATCTGAAAAAATATATATATGATTAATTATAGGTATAATAAACTATTGTTTAAAATTAAAAAAAAATATCTTTATCTTAATTTCTTTATTTCCAGATTCGTTTTTACTATTTTTTCTTCAAAAGATAGTTGCGCCCTCTGTCTTTCTTTTCTCTCTCTTTCTGTCCCGTAGAATAAATGTTCGCCCTCTCTCTTTCTGTCCGGTAGACTAAACATTCTGTTCTATGTTGACAGAAAAGCTAATTCCATCATATAGGAATATCCTCTGTATTAACTTCATGTAGTTTCTTCCTATTTTCTGTCAATCACTTTTAATGGTGGGATTATTTTATGTTTTTAATTGAAATATATAAAAGATGGTAGGAATTATAATAAGCTTAATTTAATGGTTTGCAACATTCTCTTGGGGTGAGTACTTTCATTGTAATCTTTATTCTATAATTCTGACAGCATTACTATACATCATAACATTACTTCTTTCGAAAGCACATTTTTTCGATTATATGCATGTGGGGATCTGAACAGTAAGTAATAATAATTATATTTAATTTTATCCTTGCCATCTGCTATTTGTTTAATTGTAAAATGAGAATTAAAGTAAACCCCTTTTGATGTGTCTTTAATACAAGCTGTTGTTGTATTTTAGTTTATTGACCATATCCACGTATTTATTGACGATTTTATTCAAGATCATATTATAGACCATATTCCAAGAATAAATTAACCATATTGACGGTGTATTTGCCGTATTATGAAAATTTATTGACCATTGGAGGACCTAACCACTTAATTGGGAGGCTACACTCACATGCTCCGGAGAACCTAACATCTAATTGGGAGGCCACACAAGTAGCCCATTAAGGTCATCGATGCCATGAGTATCATCCTCACTAATACATTGTTAAGCATTGGTAGGGTTGATTGTTTTTTTATTATTTTTTTAATAAATATCTTCTTCTTCTTCTTCTTTTTTATAAGCAAAATGCTTGTTCAATGTCGATTAATGCCTCTATTGGAGGTTATCACTCCATCTTTTGCGTGGTCGCCCGATACTTCTACCTTTTGGTGATTTGTCCCTCGCTATTCTGACTAATCGGGTCTCTTCCATTCTGTTTATGTGTTCGTTCCATTCCTTTTTTCTGTTCAGTGTCCACTCATTTATTTCTGGTATATTGCATTTTCTTCTGATCTCTTCACTCCTCATTCGATCCCTCAGTGTGTTTCCTATAATTCTCCTTAGTAAACGCATCTCCGCTGTTTCTAGTAGTTGCTGAGTTTTGGAGGTATCCGGTCTGGTCTCTGAAGTGTATGTCATTATTGGTCTTATTGTTGCTTTGTAGATTCTTGATTTCACGTCGGTATTAATGTGGGGATTGCGCCATATCGTGTTATTAAGACAACCTGCTATTTTATTAACCTTTTGTACTTGATATTTCATTTCCTTATCCACATCTCCGTAGCTAGACAGTGTAATTCCTAGGTAATTTGTCTCCATTACTTGCTCAATGCTGATACCGTGGATTTCCAGTTTACATCTAATTGGTTCTTTACTGATTACAATTGTTTTAGTTTTCTGTGTAGAGATCACCATATTAAAGTCCTTTGCCCTTGTGTTGAATCTATGGGTTAGTCTTTGTAGATCGTCTTCATTGGATGCAATTAGGGCCGCATCATCTGTATAGCAGAGTATTCTGATTTCTTTGTTCCCCATTTTGTATCCTCTTCCTTTATTAATAGTATTGATGATTTCATCCATGATTAGATTGAATAGCGTTGGACTAAGCGAGTCTCCTTGTCTTATTCCATTGCCCATATCTATTGGATCTGTAAGCTGGTCATCTATTCTGACTTCCATATTGTTGTTCTGGTAAATGTTCTCTATTGTTTTTATAACATTTAGTGGAATTTCTCTATCGTAAAGAAGGTGAATTACATCTTTAAGCTTTACTTTATCGAACGCTTTCTTCAGGTCTATTAGACATATGAATGCTGGTCTGTTATACTCTAGTGCTTTCTCGGTAATCTGTTTTATGTAAAAAATTTCATGAAATTTAATAAATATGATTAGTTAAAATTTGTTTTATCTGCTATCAGCTAAGGGTTCAGTTTAATTCCTGCTTTAAGACAAGACGAACTCACACTTGAGATACTGAGCTAGGCGGAGCATAAACATGGTTGATTGAGGTATTATTTTTATAAAAGTATTTCATTTCTCTTTGGTAGTCTTATCCCTACAACAATTTCATAATATTTTCAATCAAATTTCTATTCATTAGAAGATTTTGTTAGTGTATCATTTTTAAGCTTTTTCCATAAATTAAGCTTTAGAAACAAATAGAGAAATGAAGAATGAAAAGAAGAAAATTAGAAAGAATGGAAAAAGAACATATCTAAATAAAAATAAAGAAAAAAAAACTTCCGAAAATACAGCATCGAATGTATGAGTAAATTAAGTAAAAACTTGATAAAAATCACAGATATAAAACCCGAAGGCTGGATCACATAAGCCACAAATCTTCAAAAGATGAGGATCGGAAACAGAACAGTTGATAATTACTGAACCAGAAATTGTGAAACTACATGTACTTAAAAACCTGATGAAAATGAGGGCAAATTTTCAAACAAATCTTTGAGCCCGTATATGTGTACTTATGGAAATGCAGATATAGTGGCAGGTAATGAAAATAATCTATAGGTATTATTAATTAATTGAGTGAGAGAGCATTACAAATCAACAATAGTGGTGGAAATCGAAGTAATAAAGCAATGCATGGGAGCTATTTTCCTAAATTTAGCAAAATCATAAAAGGTCAAGTGCAGTAAATATGGTAATTTTCCAATTAATACATGTTCTTGAACTCAATGTATGATTTAAATTGCACTTAATAGTCTGAAAATTACAACCAATTTTGTATAAACCAAAGATCAGAGTATTATCACCGTAGTGTAACATAAAAAAAATAAAATTGATAAGAATACTTCATCAGTGATTAATTTTTTCGCAAAATTGCTAAAAATATAGATTACTGTAATTGTAATATAAGATTTACATACATATACATTACAGGGTGAGTCATAACTATTGGGACATAGACTAAGGACAGGTTATTTGGACTAAAATATGGCTATTGGGCCAAATATGCCTTAATAAAATGTTGCTTAGAAAAAAGATACAGGGTGTTAAAGTTAATTTTTGTTTTTCGTTTTTTGCTAATAGTTTCTCTGTATATTTATAAATTGCTATTAAAATTGGCACAGAGGCATAATCTTAGACAAGAAATAGTATTTTATTTACAATTTCACTATCAAATACCAAACTAATAAACAAAGTTGCAACTAACGTAAGGTTTTGACGATAAATCAAAACTAAACACACTTAAGAACTCACAAAAACTCAAAATAAATGTTCTACATAGTCTCTCCGATTTCTAAGCCTTTTCTAATTCTTTTTATAAAGGATTTTCGGACGTTAAAAAAATATTATTCTGTCCCCTTATAAGATTAGCTGCCTTTTGAATGTATCTTCAAAGTTCGTCTCGTGTATTAATTTCATTGGCATAAACTAAGGACCTCATGTGTCCTCAAAAATAAAAATCTTGCGGGTTGTACTCAGGACTTCTTGGTGGCCATTGAAAATCACTGCCTCTGCCAATCCATCATTGAGGAAATACGTCATTAAGATGATTTCTAATAGCTACTGAAAAATGAGGTGGCGCTCCATCCTGCATAACCCACATTTTTCTTCTTACATCCAGTGACAGATCATCTAAAATATCACTAAGAGTGTTTTCCAAAAAGAATAAATAAAAATCTCCATTTAAATTCGAAGGAAGAACATATGGCTCTAGTAGTTGGTCGCCTATAATGCCACACCGAATATTCAATTTAAACTCATGCTGAAAATGTTTAGCTTTAATAGCATGCGGGTTTTCTTCTTCCCAATTATGACTATTTCGCCAATTAAAAACCCCTCGTCTGGTAAAAGTTGCTTCGTCGGTGAACATAATATTCTTAATTAAGTGTCTGTCATTGCGATGTTTATTAGGAATACGTTGGCAAAACTGTAACCGTCGTGGAAGATCTGTCGAAAGTAAATTTTAAACAGGAGTGAAGTGATAAGAATGGAGGTTCTCTTTTTTTAGAATTCTAACAATAGACGACTGACTAACTCCTATTGCTGCTAATAGATGTGAACTTATTTCAGGATTTTTATCTACTCGAACCAAAAGTTCATCTTCTTGATTAGGTGTGATTTGTTTCGGTCGACCACCCCGATTTTTAGTGTAAAATGACCCAGTTTCACCTAAACTACGATATATTCTTGGAAAAGTTTTGTGATTTGGTTGCCTTTTGTTTGCATATAACATTCCATACCTTCTGGCTCGCGAACGACCGCAAAAATTTTTTTGTGCGTATACGCAAATCATATCTCGCATTTCTTCATTAGTAAAATGATTGTGACGAGGTATTTCAATCAAAAAAAGTAATGATTACTTTAAAAAAAATGCAACATTACACTACACTGTCACATCAAAAATGATTTACTTTGAATAAATGACATTTACCAACAACAATTATCTGACAGTCCAAAGCATACTTTTCATAAATAAAATAATATTTGAAATCCTTTTTTAAAACTCTAAGCAGTTCGACTGCGTTTTTATCGAAAACGGTTGAAATTATCATGTTTAAACAAGAGTACCAATTTTATTTAAAAATGATGTTTTCGTCATATTTTCTTATAAAAATTACTAAAAAGTTTCATCAGAAAAAGTTTAGACTCAATTTGATCATTAGGAATAATCCACGTGGCGCCCTCTGTGACAAAACGTAAAATTGTAAATAAAATACTATTTCTTGTCTAAGACTATGCCTCTGTGCCAATTTTAATAGCAATTCATAAATATACAGGGAAACTATTAGCAAAAAACGAAAAACAAAAATTAACTTTAACAAGCTGTATCTTTTTTCTCAGCGACATTTTATTAAGGCATATTTAGCCC